AAAATATATATTTTTTTAAATCTATTTTTAGTAAACTATTTTTGATTTATTTCTTGACTTTAACTTTATTTGTTGGATAAAAGAACTTGAAAATGTTACAAAGAATTTATTGTAACGTGAAATATTTATGACTGGTCATCTATATAATGGTATTACTATAATGATGGTATTTATCAAACAAAAATAAAAATTTCGTACAAAAACAAATAAAAAATTAAATAGTATATAAAAATAATTTTTTTTACAATTAATTGACCTAAAATTGAAAAACATGTAGAAACAATTACGCACGAATCAAAGTAATTACAGAAATAAAATATAATACTTGCAGCAGTGGTAATTATTATAAAAACAAGCGAAGCATAGAAACCGTGAACATTTTGCATGTTTGATAATATTTGCTTCATTACATGCACATTTGGTTTCATTTAATTCTGTAGGAAAGCACACTTGATTGACGTTTTCAAAAATTTCTCTTTGTGGGACTTGACAATTGATGGTGTTATGAAAGAATGTATTTTTACTCCGTTGTCCCTACTCGAAATTTCCTGATTATTTTTAGTTAAAAAATTGCAATTTTTTATTTTTTTATATCGAAAAAATATACATTTTTATAGATGAAATATAATAAATGAAAATAGTTTAATTGAAAAAAAAATTATATAATACGTTACCATAAACGGTAATACGTTACCATAAAATGGCTACTCTTGGCCTACACTTCAACTGCACCTGTATTTATTGGTGTAAAAAAATTTTAATTGCAAATATCTTGAAAACCTTTGAGTGTCTGCCCCTATAATGGTATATGTTCGTAAACAGAATATCGAAATCTATAATGTACAAAATTTCAGCCGAATCGCAGACCAAAAAAAGCCTTGCGGTCTCCTTGTGAGATATTGTTGTATCATTATAAAAAAAAAAGAAATGAGTCTTAAATAGATTGATAAATATTATTTTAGAGAATCACGCCAACTGAATATAAAAGAAAATCTAATAGAATATTGTGAAGAACAAATGAAGGAATTGTAGAGACAATTCAAAATGGCAAAATAGGTGTACGTGTGTTATCTGGCGCTTTGATTTTTACATTAAAGAAATGAATGAAAAATAATTATTCAAAAAAATTTTTCATTGTTAGATATGAGAAATGAAGAAAAACTTAAAATTCATACGAAAAAAATTGGAAATATACGGCTTTGTACCAATGCGTGAGTGCGTAAGGTCTATGGCATTTAATTTGGCTGACAATTTGAAGATAAATCATGAATTTATAAGGAAAAAGGGTCAACTAAACTGAATATGTTTTTAAAACGTCATCCAGATTTTAGTATCACAAAATCAAAAGACGTTTCTTTGTCTCAGTGCTTAATTAGTAATTGACTCATATTTTCAACACTTAAAGAACATTTCTTAACGAGAAATATTTAATATAGATAAGATACGCCTACAATTGAATAATAAACTAAAAGTTGAGTTCAAAATATTTTGTATGTATGGGCCATCTGACTCGGATCCAGATTAATCCAGATTAATCCAAATGAGAT